GCAGGAAGGAGTGGAGCAAAGCAGCAGCAGGGGTGTTCAGTTTTGTTCCCTCTGATTTCCAAAGGCCCTTTGGCAAAAATCTTATGAATTGTGCAGCCACGTGATGTTGATCTAGCAGATCATCTGGGGCTTTGGGTGTTGGGTGATTATGATAATAACGAAATTCATAATGTAGGTGACTTCACTTTATTTCAAAGGATACCTTGGAGTTACCATTCCATTTCAGGTCTTTCCACCCTTGGTATTCTCCATGGCCTTGGGAAAACAGCTTTTTTCCTTGCTGGTTCTAAGTACAGGTAGTCCCCAACTTACAACATATTTGAGTTACAACAAACAGTACATATGACTATCGGTTGTTTTTTTTTTTAATTACATCTTATCATTAGTAATATGTACTACAGCAACGTTGCAGCATGTAATTTGCTGATGTTATCACTCTCTGTAAGTTTATATGTAATGTTTCCAATCCCCAAAGACAAAGATCAGATTTATAAAGATACTGATAATAAAAGGCAATAAGAATGAAAACTAAAAAAAAATAGAGGTATTTGACTTATGCCAGAACCAACTTATGACAGAGTTGTTAGAATGGAACCCTGTTGTAAGTCAGGGACTACCCTGTAAACGGAAACTACATTTTTATTCATTCACTCATGCACTCACTCAACCTCTATATGTTGCCTAGTTACCATAAGCCAGACTCAGGGAGTAAAACAGCAAATAAAACATGCTTGATTCCAACCCCTCATGGTGCTCACAGTGGTGATTCTCCCCACATAAACCCCCTTTGGCCTGGAGGAGGGAGCTAAAAACCAGTAAAACCATTCCAGGGAGTGAAGAGCCATCCCCACAAAGAGGAAAGTTCCTCTCTTCAAGTACTCTACTTTTTCCCTATAAAGAAAAGCTGGTCAAGTCAGCTTCAGCTCATAGTGACCTGATGTACAACAGAACAGAATGCTGCCTGGTCCTATATCAGACAGTATTCTGCTGTGATCCATAAAGTTTTCATTGGCTAATTTTCTGAAGTAGATCACCAAACCTTTCTTAGTTTTAGTTGGGAAGCTCCACTGAAACCTGTCCACCATGGGCGACCCTGCTGGTATTTGAAATACCAGTGGCATAACTTCCAGCATCATAGCAACACACAAGCCACCACGGAACAGCAGACTGACAAACGGGTGGTGGATAGATGTTGTAGAAAAGGAAAATAATCAGCAGGTATTTATTGCGTACCTGCCCTTTGCCCAGCCTCAAGGCTTCTATAATCTGATTGGATAAACCAGGCTCTGGGACCTGGTGCTGACATGTCATTTAGTGCCAGGTTATGTCATGGGATGCAGCTTGGTCTAGATGAGAAGAGATGTCAGATATCCCCAAGCCTTTCCTGGGGAAGAGGAGGTGCTCCAGGGGAATAACTGGGACCACTGGGTTGAAGTTAGAAAAAAGGCTTAAGTCTGTAAAAAGACGAGTATTGTCAATTAGTGCTTTCTGAAAATGGGAAGAACTGACTGGGTGAGTTAGCAAGCGCTCCATCTCTGGAAGCCTTTAGCAAAATTGGACATGGGATGGTGTCTTCGTTTCTTAGTGATGCTGTAACAGAAATACTACAAGTGGGTGTTTTTAAAGAACAAAAATTTATTTTCTCAGTTTAGGAGGCTAGAAGTCCAAACTCAGGACATGGGCTCTGAGGGAGGGCTCTTTCTTTCTTGCATCTGGGGAAGATCTCTGACAGTTTCTGGAGACCTTGCATTCCTTGATTCCTTGGTGATCTCCATGTGGCATGTTATCTTTCCCTTCATTTGTGCTTGCTTCTCTGTGCCTAATCTGCTCTTTTTATATCTCAAAAGTGACTAGGTTTAAGACACACCCTACACTGATACGGCCTCATTAACCTAACAAAGAAAACCCTGTTTTGTTGATTCTATTTGTATACTAGTGGTGGAGTAGAACTGCTCTATGAGTCAGAATCAACTCAATGGCAACGAGTTTATAGGGTTTCCAAGGCTGTAATCTTTATAGGGAAACACTGGTGGCATAGTGGTTATAGAGCTATGGCTGCTAAGCAAAAGCTCAGCAGTTCAAATCCACCAGGTGCTACTTGGAAACCCTCGACAGCAATGGGTGTTTTGGTTTAATCTTTACGGAAACCGACTGCCATATCTTTCTCTCCTGAAGTGGCTGGTGGGTTTGAACTGTTGACCTTTCGGTTAACAGCTGAGCGCTTAACCACTGCACCACCAGTGCTCCTTCCACAGGTGTAAACCAAAAAAACCATACCTATTGCCATTGAGTCGATTCGACTCACAACAACCCTATAGGACAGGTAGAACTGCCCCATAGGGTTTCCAAGGAACGGCTGGTAGCTTTGAATTGCCAACTTTTGATTAGCAGCTGAGCTCTTAACCACTATGCAACCAGGGCTCCTCCACAGGTATAGGGATTGGGATTTACAGCACATGTTTTAGGAGGACACAATTCAATCCATAACAGGTGGGAGCTGGGACCTATGAGGTCCCTATTGCTAACTCTTAAGGTCCTATGCCTGGAAGGACTCTCAACAAATAACTAGGGATTTATCCTACAGATATTCTTGCACATGTGTACAAAGATGTGTGTAGAACAGTATTCATTGTAACACTGTTTAGAATGAGAAAAGGTTGGAAAACTACACACATATCCATCAGTAGGAGATTGGTTAAATAGATTATGGTATAGCCATACAGTGGATAACTATACTTTATCCATCTAAAAAAGGGAAAGGGGATGTTCTTTATGAACTATGCAAAGAACTCCAAGATATATTATGAAAGAAGCAAGATACCTAACAGCATATATGGAATGCCTCTATTAATATGAGGGTGGTGGTGGAATATGTTCATATATTTGCCTGTATGTGAATAGAATAGACCTGTTGTTATTGTACTTGTTAGTTGCCGTTGAGTCAATTCCGACTCATGACAACCCCATATGTGCAGAATAGAACTGCTCCATAGGGTTTTGGAAGCAGATTGCCAGGCCTGTCTTCTGAGGCACCAGTGGGTGTATGTGAACCAACCTTTCGGCTAGTAATCGAGTGCTTAACCATTTGAACCACTCAGGGACTCCTAGAATAGACATAGAAGGTTGCATAAGAAACCTCTGGTTGCCTCTGGAGAGGGGAACTGGGCAGCTGGGAAATGGGTAGGAGGGAGAGTTCTCAAACTTCTGTATCTTTTGAATTTTGAATCAGGTAGATGTACTACTCTTCAAAAAATAAGCATAAGTAATATAAAACACTTTAAGAATAGCTGTTCCTAGGCAGGACCCTCAGAGCAGTAGAGGGGAAGAGGAAAGCAAGCTAACTTTTTATTGAGCATCTGCTGTGAACTAGATTCTTTGGCTATATGCTTTACATGCCTGATATCTTTTAATCCACACAACCCTGTATGCAATGCTGTCTCCATCCCCGTTTTTATAGATTTAAAACTGAGGCTTTGGGAGGATTAAGGTACTCGCCTGTGGTGCCACAGTTAAATCCACGAGGGGAATCTGTCTGGGTTCTTTCTGCTCCCCTGCCATGCTGCCTGCTGCAGGAGGCCGCCCATGAAATGGGCAGGGCCAAAGAAGAGATGAAGAGATGATGTTGTTTCTGGGGCCTGCCTCTGGGCTTCAGGGGCCCAGAAGTAGAGACACACCTTCTGCTTGCTCTCTGGGTCAGATTCATTGTTTCCCTTTGCTTTTGCGGAGCTCAGGGTTGGAGTTCACAGTCTGCGTTCACAGGCGATCAAGAGACAGCCTGAGCAGTGGTCATTCTGTGGCCAGAGGAAAATACCTCCCCCAACTCCTGGCCGCAGGGAGAGAGGTAGTGCCTGCTTTTTCTTCACGCTGGGTGTCAAATGTGCTATCTTTGTCTGCCAGCTGGAGGCTGGCTGGGGAGCTGTTGTTTTTCTGATTGTCAGACCCAGGCTCCTTACTTGCACTTAGAGGGAAAAGCATCCAAGCCCTGGGACAAAAGGTCCTCTTTTCATTTCTTTGGAAAAAGAGCAGTGAATGAGCTCATTATCATGCAACTCAAAAAGGAGGAGGAGGGGAGGAAGAGAAGGTGGCCTATCTTCACTGCCTAGCACTGTCCCTGGCCAGGTTTCCTGGGGTTGGGGCTTGGATTTGGCCCAGAGTGACCAAAGCCAGATGGCTGGGACAGGTGGTCCATACAAGGGGCAGTGCTGGAGACATTTGGATGGTTTGCTGTCTCTGCTGTGGTCCAAAGGAAGGTGGGGGTCTGTGCCCCTTCTCATCCCCTGAATTCAGAGGTCTGTCCCAGACTGTCAGCCTTCAGGGTGCAAAAGGCCTTCCTTCCTTCTGTTCAAGGTTATGTGCCTGCCCCACCTTGACTTCCAAAGAGGCTCCTGTGTGCAGGTGCTCTGCTCACTCAACTCTAGAAATCGTCGCCACACTCAGGGCTGACAGTTAAGCAACATCAAATATCTGTTGAATGTTTACTCTTTGCCAGGCACTGCTCTAGGCACTCGAGGTATAGCATGGAATGAAGCTGTCAAAGTCTCTACCCTCTACCCTTACGGAATTTCCTTCATTCCTGTGGAAGAGGAGGCACACCAGGGGAGTAGCTAGGACTGCTGGTGAAATATGCCAAGTCTGGTCTGCTACTGCTCCCTCTGCCCAGTCTCTTCTGGGTGTGGAGGGACTGCTGGGGGGAGTGATCCATAAATGCTTTGAGAGGGAGGCTCTGTGGCATTTCTAGCAGCTGAGCCCGGACTATCACCAGCTCACTCCCTCCAGAGCATGACTTCAGACCCCATTCAGTTGTGGCAGAGAAGGGCTTTTCTAGATCTGAGCCGCAGAGAGCTCTGATGCCTTGCAGGATGCTGCTGGACCTGGGAATCATTTAAAGGAGACCTGGAGCTGCCCAGAGGTCAGCCCCCAATGGGCACAGGTGGTGAGCTGGCAATGTTCAAACCAAGCCTGACAGCCTCCCTTTTTTCTTCCTCTTTCTTCCCTTTCAGATTGAGAAAATCATGAGTTCTATTGGAGAAGGGATTGACTTTTCTCAGGAACAGCAGAAGATCTCAGGTACTGTACCAAGACACCATTTTCCCTGTGGAAAACAGACCTTTGTTCCTTTCCAGCTTTGTTTTTTTCTCTAACACAGAAGACAGCCAGCTAGGTGATGAGAGAGCTCAGACTCGGGCATGTCACACTCTGACAATTGCTGCTCTCAGCACTGGGACCTCAGGCCTCATGTACCTAAACATCCCCACCTTGCTGTTATTTTTAGAGCCACGATCCCTTTTACATATGGAGGGGAAAGTGTACAAATGGAATTTTAGGTTGCCTATTAGGACACTTTTTAAAACATGAGCAATTGTTGATAATTATTTTTGTAAGTGTCAGCTTTCTCAGATTGACTTAAATTAGAGTCACCTCATTGATGGTCTCCTGCTTCCCACGTGGCTCTGGCGCTAATTCTGCATGAGAACACAGTGCTCATTTGTCTAGCCTACAACAGTGGCAGAGCGTTGGGTTAAACCAGTGGTCTCACACTTGGAGCATACGTTAGAATCACCTGGAGGGGTTGGCATTGCTGTCGTCCCCATGTGTCAGTTTCTCCATTCTTCAGTTTACTTAGTCACTTATCTTTACTCTATACCACTGCTACTTTGGTCAGTCTGCTCATTTCTAAGACCTAGGGGTAAAGTCTGCTTCTATTTTGTTTGGAACAGGGGAAGCTAGATATGATATCACAATGATCTGTTTTACTTGATCATAGGATTGTGGTTGGGTTACTCTATCAGGTGACAAGAAGTTCTTAAAGGCACCTCTCAGAGGAACTCTCAACCCCCTCACCCCAAGCACCTGAAGGTAGTTATGCCACCTGGGCGCCTGGGCTAAAAGCAGCTCAGCAGGAGCCTGACCTATCCCCTCATAGATGAAAATCCTCTCTGCACTGAAGGGCTAAAGGGTGGCATTCCTTGCTCACTTGGAAGACTCCATCCAGGATTGACTCGTAAGCCTTAAATGGCACCTCTGGTTCCTCCATGGGCCTGTGGCCTGGCAGGAGGTCTGAGGGATAGGGGAGAGCATGCACACCAGGGAGAAAGGAGCTGCGGGGTCCAGGGGTCATGATGGAAAAGGCATGGGCTCTGGAGCCTCAAAGCCCTGGGTTCAAATCCTGACTCTAGATACATACAGGTCTCTCTGAGCCCTCAGTTCCGCATCTCCAACATTTGGATAATAGTACCTACCTCCTAGGTTTGTTGTGAATGGGAAGTATATACAAGTACTTGAGCTAAAGAAGTGCTCAGTGAATGGTAGCTATGCTTGTTTCTATCCCTGAAATCCTTACTCATGTCGAGAAATCTAGAGAATATAGAGGCATCTGTTCCTCTGGCTTGTCTCCTTCCACCATTTTTCAGACCTGGTGCCTGGAGCCACCTTCCCTCCAGCAGCCGTGTTTCCCCAGGCCTTAGTAGAGGACTGAGCTGGGTTTGGTCTGTCTCTGTCAGTCTTGGATTATGCTGGAGTCTTCATAGATGACTCTTCTAGCCAAGAGTTTGTAGAGCAGTTTCCAGGCAGTTGTTTACACCCAGCCAGGCAATCTCATACTCTGGTGTAGTTTGCAAACTACTGCAAGAGTCAAGTGTTTGTTGGGAATAGGTGTTCAGGACTGAGACAGACACCGCTGCCATTTCCACAGCTGTGCTTTGGGGACAGCCAGGGATGGGATCAATAGCAGTCAGTGTAGTTGTAGCCACTTTCTGCATCCCTGTCCCCCTCTGTGTCCAAGGAGCAGGAGCCTAAATTGCTTGCATGTCCTTGAGAGCTTTGGGTCAGAAGCAGACCACTCACTGCCTCTTGGAGCTGATAAATCAGGAGATGTAGCAGCACCTCTGGAAGAACCTTTCTCCTTGAAGGTGGTGACACTGGGCTTTTTCCTTGCCCTTCTGGTCCCACCCACTAGTTCTTGCCTCCCTGAACTGTGAATGGCAAGAGTTGGTCTGGCTATACCCCTGGGTTTCTGAATGCCAACACACAGTCTACTTTTAGTACTCACTGATTTGAACCATCCTCCAACGCCCAGCTTAGGAAAGGCAAGAGTGGGCACGTGAGGGTGGCCACCTGAACAGAGGGTGTGTTCATGCTGCAGAGTCCCAGCCTCTGTGCTGCCCCAGTGCCAGGCCGTGAAGCATGGGGAGGGTGGGTTCAGGCCTGCCCAGGATGCTGCATGCTGCTCGGAGGGGGCTTTCCCCAGGCCTCAGGGAGCACCATCCTCCAGCTCAGACCACAGCAGAATGGCTGTTTATTTTGGGTGGTCAGTATCAGGGTTCAGCTTGTCCTCAGCTTTTAGGATTAGAGGAAGAGATCTGGGCTGAGAGGAGGAGCAGGCCCCCCAGCATGCAGCCCTTCACCAAGCACTCAGATGGCCCAGTTGGGACTGGTTTTGCAGGGGTCATCTCCTGAAGGGCAAGACCATAGCACTTGCATCTCAGTCCTATTTTGGGAGCACAGGTCCCTGTGCTGCCAGCACCAGAGCTGGTTATCAGAATCCCCACAGACATGGTTTACAACTCATCCCTCGGCCACCTCCCACTCTCGGGATTCAGGGAGTGGAAGCCTTACCACTGGCCCAGCCACTCTGACTTCTTTCAACAAAGACCAGTGCCAGTGGAGCAGAAGAGAATCACTTGATTTTTCTTTGCTAAACCCATCCTGTCTTAGCTGTTGAGTAGCTATTAAATGCAGGATCCTTCTGGGGCCTGTTCTCCCCGTACACAAAACCCTTTCTTTTCCAGAGCCCATCTACAGCTTCAGGGCTGCAGGTGGCTGCCAGCATACTTAGAGGGTGGCATACAGTCCCTGGATTTTTGTCTGTGCACACAAATTACTTTTTTTGTCTCTCTGTAGCCGTAGTTGGGATTTGGTCCTGGCTTCCCCTTGCTGTTGGCCACTTGGCTGCAGTGCCCTCCTACTCCAGGTTGAGAGTGGCTGCTCGAAGTGAGCTGCCTTCTCCTCTGGGCTCAACAGGCCGGAGAGCAGTCTAAGTTGTTTGGTATGTACACCTGAGGACTCTCAGGTGTGACAGCCTTATTACCTTGGCTGTTTTTGTAATATCCCATGGCTTACTCTTCTTGACAGAGCAGCACAATGATTCTGGAAGTGGCGAGTGGGGGTCACTCGGGGCAGGGCCGTTCCTCTGTCCCCTCTCCTGGCTGTCCTAGAGCCTGTCAGCCAGAGCTGTAAGAATGTTTCCTCTCTGTTCTTCCTGACAATTCAGTGCAGAGCTGTTTCCAGCCCTTTGGGCTGTAGGTAAAATTTCACCATCTCTGTCTTTCATACCCATTTGTATCCGCCAGCATCAGATCTTGGGAAATGTGTCATTTTGCTCTGTTGCTAGTGCTGCTCTGGCTTTTTCTCCCTCAGCTGCAGCAGCTGCTCTGATGTCCGATCCCTGATGCATTTTCCTGAGCGTGGAAGGGAGGAGGGCGGGGAGGGGAGAAGGGGAGGGCCAGGCATTATGAGAGCGAGCAAGGACTGTGGAGCCGGCAGCAGGCAGCGTGGAGCCCAGGATCCTTTAGACAAAGCATTCTGCTGCGGATCTGTGAGAGCACACATCCACCAGCAGCAGACTGGACCACAGCTGCCCGGCTAGGCGATCACAGGCGGGAATGAATCAGCAGCCAGGGACACTGGACTTCATGAGCATACAAGAACCTGCTGCCTAGGTTCCTGGAGCAGAGCCCCCGCTCAGGTACCCCCAGACTCAACATCTCGGAGCACTGCTGCAGTGTGCACCAGAGGCGCCCATCCCCTGACCACCATCTGTTCTGCAAAGGACAGAGGAGGGGCGACAGCTGGGACTGCTGGTCACCAGAATGTCTTAGATAACCAAGCAAGTTGGCATTGTCCTGCCTCAAGGGCCCAAAGTGCCCAGGAATGACAGAATGACTTTCATCGTGTCAAGAGTTTGTTGGAGGTGATGTTTTTGTAGTTGGATCTTCTTTTTCCTTCCTTAGACCCCTTTTCCTCCCTTTCTCTTTTTTCCTCCTTTTATCTGTTCTTGCCCACGAGAAGCGGAATCGGCAGACAAGCTGAGAAGTAGGTGGGGGTTAAGGCATTCAGCTCAGAATGTCCAAGGTCTGCCAGGAAGGGCTGAACTTTTTTCCTCCCTGCACCACCCAAATCCCCTCTCCTAACTGAGGAGCACAGCAAGTCAACATCCTCCCTTCCCTGCTCATTGTTGGAGGAGACTGGTCAAGATCTGAAGACCCCAGGAAGACAGTTGCTGTCTTTATCACTCAACTAAAGAGAAAGCAGCACAGAACGTGAACAGATTTAAGCTGCCACAGCTCAGCTGACAGAGGACCGTTTCCTTTTTTTCTTTCTTTTTTCTGGTTGCGTTTGGTCTTCTTTAGCCAAGAACTAATCTGCCTGCCTGCCTGCTTTCCACCTGAGGAGGCAGGCAAGTCACAGCAAAAGCTACTGTTAGAAGAAGAAAATGAATGCCCAGCCCCTGAAGAACAGCCCAGCCAGAGAAGGCAACCCTTCAGACAGTGCACTGGTCCAGGAGATGCTTCGCTCGCCAGCTGCCAGGATCTAGCTGTGGACTGGGCTCCTGGCCCCTGCTGGCCGTGCAGCTGGTTGGAATGCGATGTTGCTGTCACGGCAGAGCCACACCTGAGCCTCCTCCCTGAGCCCTGGCCCATGCGCCCCACCCAGCCCCTTGTTGCCCTGAGCCTCTGAGCACAAAGGGCCGGTGGCCATGGTTTGCTTATTCCGGGACTGCTGGGGGAAAACAAGTAAAAGTCTCTTTTGTCCCCCTGCCGTGCCCTTTGCTGCTTGCATTGCATGTGCTGGGTCCCCGTGAACAGCCGCCGCTGCTCCCCTCTCGGAACCCTCGCTGTGTGCCTGTGTCCCTCAGCTGCATGAAGATGTGTGCTCTCTCCTGACTGGTTTATGCTGCAAGGTCACAGAACTTGTCCCTTGCCCACAGCAGTGCTGGGGCTCCAGAAGTTGCATGGATGAGAGGAGCAGCAGGGCTTGTGGGCACTTAGGAGCTTCCCCCGACCCCCCTAGTGTCTGTGGAGACAGACTTTCCGAAATACCTGAACACTGACAAGGAAGTGACTGAAGACCATTAGGGGTTGGCTTCCCCGACCTGTGGGCAGAGACCGTGCATGTGCTGCCACAGCCCCGGAGCAGCTCAGCCCGAGGGGTGTGAGTAGGGCGGCAGCGCCCAAGGTTGGGGAGTGTGTGCGCAGTGCCAGGCAGCCCTGTCCTTGGCCTGTACACAGAAGAGGAGCTGTGTGTCTGCCGCTCTTTGGTCTCTTATAAATAGTTTGGCTGCTTTATGGTAATGACTATGATGTGGCAGTGCCATCTGTCTTCCTCTGAGTGCCGCTGCTACCGCCTTGATGGTTTTTCCCTTTTCAAGCGTCTGCCGATTCCTCTCTCATCAGGTTCGCGGACGCTGGAGCAGAGCGTTGGGGAATGGCTGGAGTCGATTGGGCTGCAGCAGTATGAGAGCAAGTTGCTTCTGAATGGCTTTGACGATGTCCGCTTCCTGGTAAGTACCTGTGGGCCTCCTCCAGGGCTGGGTGCTGCTCAGTGGAAACTTCGCCTCCCTGGTCACCCCTGAGGCCCCTGCTGGAGTTTGAAACAGTACGTAGACCTTTATCCCAGGGAACAGCTAATGGAAGTGACTTAGAGGTTCAGGAAATCATCCTCATATTGTGTGTCTTCTTGCCAAGCTCTGTCCCTTCCAAACTTTGCCCTAGCTCTTTGCACGTCTGCATCCCAGGAGGCTGTTTCAGGCCTTTGCCCCTCTCAGGTCTCCCTCTCAGACCTCAGACTGTGTGTTGTGCAGTGAGGCACCAAGGCCAGCTTGTTCCAAGGCAGACATCAGGAGTTTGGTGGATAGGACAACCAGGTTCCCTTTGGTGACTCCATATCCCATCTCAACTGGGTACCAAAATTCTCCCTTATTTCCCAAAACTCAGCTGTCAAGCGAGTTGTCACTGAAGTTAGGAACTTTGGCTCCAGCAGAAAGGCCCAGTGCCTCGGGTGGAGACAGTGGCTGCATAGCTTCATGTACCTGTGGCCTCAGAGCTGGCCCAGCCAAGATGCTGAGTTGGTGGTTTGGAGGATTGGTAGCTTTTCTGAGGTGTAATTCTGTATTCTCTTCTTCCAAACACCAGGGGTATTTCTCAGGTCCTCTCATCTATTCCTTGGCTCCCTGTGGAGTAGGGACCTGGCCAGGACCCTGGGCTTGGGGTCCAGTGCTGCCTCTGTCAGTCCAGAATGTAGCTCAGAGCAGGGGTGCCCACCACTGTCCCTCTCCTGGAAAGCCCTGCCTGAGATGTTCTCGTGGCTTGGTCCCAAGGTCTTCAGAGTTAACCCTGGCATCCCAGCAGCAGGATCCTCCTAGGGCCTTTAGTGCCTGGAGCAGACACTTAACACATCAATGAGGATGATC